CAGGAGGGCTCGGGCTGTGGGAGCCAGGGTGCGAGGGGAAGGGGCGCGACACCCCGCAGCTCCCTGCTCACGTCACGGGTGAGCCACCGGGACAGAGACCCGACCAGGCACTGCGGGAGCTGCCTTCTCCCCTCTCTTCCAAAGAAGAGTCATGGGTAGAAGGAGCAAAGGCAGGAATTTAACTGAATGTTGGATTTTGAGCCAAGACTTACCACACTGCAAACAGAAGCTCAGTCTGCCCTCTCAATGCTTGCAGGTGGAGAAGTTTGGAGCTGCCGTGGACTCTCTCAGCAGGAGCTGGCGTGACCAGAACCCCGAGCTGGTCTACGAGGCAGCTTTTCTCTGTGTATCTGTGAAGCTGATAATGTATCTTGCTAAGAAAGCCCCAGCCATGGTGTATCCCAGCCTACTCACAAGAGTGATTAATGGAAATTCTCAAGTGAGAAGCTACATTGAGCATCGCGGCGGATGGGTAAGGACGGGAAGGTGATGTTTGCAGGATGTTTATGGCTTTTCCTTTGTGCCTCTCACCTTCTCTTCCTGCTGGTTCCTTTAAACTTGCCTTGAATTCTTTCTCCAGAACACATACACATGGAGGTTTTGTTTGTTTCCAGGAGAACTTGCACCACTGAGAGGAAGGGCTGTGCTGCTTTCCAGAGGGTGAAGCTAGGCTTGTCATTGATTTAACCGGGAGAAATGCTGTGTATTTCTTCTGGAGACTGCAAGCAGAACTCTACACATAAGCAACATGTAAAAGAGATTATATCACTACAAGAAGAACTAATAAATCTTTCTTCTTATTAATTTGTTTTTCTTCTTGTCTTTCTCTTAAATTTAGTTATAAAAGTGGGCTTTACTCCTGTTTAATGTTTCTAGGTTAGTGCTTAATGTCGCAGATTCATCAGGTGAGTATTTGTTTCAAAACATGTCTCTATTGGTTATTCTGAAGATCTCCCTGTTCCTCTAAGGTGGCTTATCTTTCTAGAATTAACATTATTTTAAGCTAAGATTGACGACTCTTTTAGAGTGGTTGGCAGCCCTTCGCCTTTTAGCAGCTGGATATAGAAACCTCGTACCTATTCCATGTCCAGTCTGCACAAAAATATGGAAGGGGAATACGTTTAATGACGCTGCTTGCCGTCTGAAGCCTGCGAGCTGTCCAGTGTGGGGTGCCAGGCTCTAGCCCCCGGCTGGACACAGCAGCGGTGCAGTGCCCGGAGCCCTCGGCAGCTCTGCCAGCCCTCGCTGCGCCTGCCCTCAGGAGGAGGCACGAGCGCCCCAGGCCGTGTGTTTTGTTTTGCTGTTTGACCACGATATCTGTTACGTACTAATTTCCTTTAGGACTTGTGATGAAGTCAGTAAACCACAGCCTGCCGCGAGCGCGCGCCCGGCTGGGGCCTTCCGCCACAGCACGCACTTGCCATGCCTGTT